CGACACTCTGCGAGGTGGATCTAGTGGAAGTTAGGTAAGGGGTGCCCTTGAAGGAGATGTCGTAACCTTGATCCCTCCTCTTTTTCAGGACTGTGAGATGAGACGCCTCTTTGGTTGTGTTGTACACTTTGTCACAATGCCAAAAGGAAAGGGACCAAATAACAACAGATTAGAACCTCTGAAAACAGGAGCTCCCAATGAGCCTTTCCTCGTTTTAAGTTTCCTCAGCTTGCTTTTTTTTTTTTTTAAAAAAAAAGAGTGGTAGAAAGCTACCTACCACAAAAAATAACACATTTTAAAGATATGAAAAGACTTGATAAATTTACATTCTATTTACCCATCTTTAAAAACGTTAGGATAAAATGTTCTCAAAACAAAAACAAAAACCAGGGATTGGGGGCTAGAGAGATGGCTTGGTGATTATTGCACTTTCTGTGCCAAAAGCACTCACAAAAACACAATGAACATCCCTAAGATCTGCTAGACTTTCTGTAAGAAATGTAGCAAGTACCAGCCCCACAAAGTGATACAGTATAAGAAGGCAAGGGTTCTCCTTATGCCCAGAGAAAGTGGCCTGATGACAGGGAATGGAATGGCCATGGTGGGCAGACTAAGCTTATTTTCCACAAAAAAAGCCAAAACTACAAAGAAGATTGTGCTGAGATTTGAGAGTACTGAGCCCAACTGTAGATCTAAGGGAATGTTGGCTAGTGATAGATGCAAGCATTTTGAACTGGGAGGAGACAAGAGAAAAGGGCCAAGCGATCCACTTCTAAGCTGAAGACAACAAAATCATAAGCTTTTATTTACCCCTCCTGCCAAAAAGAACACTTGCTGCTTTTGCAGTGGACCCAGGTTTGGTTCCTAGAACATACATGGTAGCTTACAACTGCTTGCAACTCTAGTTCCAGGACATCTGACGTCTCTTTCTGGCCACCATGGGGACTGCATGCATACTGTGGGCACATCCAGACAGACATACATGTATGCAAAACACCCATAAACACAAACATCACGACAAAACAAAAACTAACGAAGGAGTAGCAGTAGCCGAGCACTGTGACATCCTATGATTCCCAGAACCCTGGAGGGTGAGGTACATGGATCTCTGAGACAGAGTTTCTCTGTGTAGCCCTGGCTGTCCTGAAACTCATTCTGTAGATCAGGCTGTCCTTGAACTCAGAGATCCACTGTCTCTGCCTCCTGAGTGCCGGGATTAATTTGTGCCATCACCTCCAGGCTGATTTATTGTTTTCTTATCCCGCCAGGCCACAGACCCTAACAGAAAACAAATACAGAAAAAATGGAGTTTTTTTCAGTGCTTTGCTGAAAGTAATACAAGAACTCTCTACACCCCACTCCCCTGCAAAAAAATCTTCTCAAACCATGAAAATAGCTGACTACTCAGAGGAAATCCAGAAAAAGACAGCAAAAGCCAGAACGCAGCACAGACGATCTGATACTCCGGCGAGACATCCCCTCTGTAGTAGACTTTTTTTCTTTCGGGGTCACAGCTACCCATTACCTCAGCATGACGGCTGGCAAGTGACTACATACACGAACAAAACAGCTACAATTCTGGAACTTTATGTAATTCTTCAAGAAAAAAATGCAGGTGGGTGGAGCTAAAGTTCATTCATAGGATGTTCTGATAATTCTCAAATTATTAGTAGGTGCTTGAACAGCAACCCTTATTCCTCAAAACAGCTACAAATCCAGGATTTTTGTTCCCCTCTACCCCATAAGTAGTATAGATCACGTTAATGATTAAAAACAATCACAAAGAATAGGCTTAAAATCTTTTGAGTAGGTACCCAATAAACAGAAAAGCCACAGGACAAACCTGTAGTCCAATTCATGACCTATCATTACCACCTGATACTTCCTAAAGCAAAAACAAGACAGGTACTGCAAATATATTTTATTCTTAGCAGCTCTAATATTGAAAATAGAAAAGGTAAGACTGGACTAGATTCAAATGTCTTAAGAATTATGAGAAATGGGCTGGTGAGATTGCTCAGTAGATAAAGATGCTTGCTGTGCAAGCCTACCAAATTGAGTTGGATTCCCAGAACCCAAATAAAGGTGGATAAAGAGAAACAATTCTACAGAGTTATCCTCTGACCTCTAACTACATGTAAGCAGTGGCACCCATACCTACTATAATCTTTGGCAGAACTGATTTTTTTTAATCTCAGAATCAGCCTTCTATATCCATGAGTTCAATTGTAGATTTAACTTACTTCAGATTGAAAGTATCTGAGAGAAAAAAGAATCATATATACTCTGAACATCAGTTCAGAAGATTATTCTCTGGACAAATGCCATATTCACATCACTGACATTGTAGCAGGTATTCTGATGACTTTGTGCATAAACCATATGTACATAATACATAACTCACCACTTAAAGACTTATGCTCCAAGCTTGTGATGACTTTCAGATGAAGGCTTAATGTGTTAGGCATTTCAATTAAAAAATGTGAGATGCTGTACTTGAGTTAGGACATGTTACAAAAAGTATAATTAAGAAACATGTTATTAAGCCGGGCGGTGGTGGCTCACGCCTTTAATCCCAGCACTTTGGGAGGCAGAGGCAGGCGGATCTCTGTGAGTTCAAGGCCAGCCTGGTCTACAGAGCTAGTTCCAGGACAGGCTCCAAAGCCACAGAGAAACCCTGTCTCGAAAAACCAAAAAAAAAAAAAAAAAAAAGAAACATGTTATTTATAACAGACTTAAAATGAAATTTCTTAATGAACTCTAAGACTACAGAAACCACCAATAGTGTATCCCCCTCCCACCCCCCCATCCCCGCCCGGGGGCTGGGGAGGCGCTCAGTGGTTAAGAGCACTGGTTGCTCTTCTAAAGGACCAGAGTTCACATGGACCCACACAACAGCAAAGAACCTTCTGTAACTTCAGTTCCAGGGCATCGATGCCCTCTTGTGACTTTTTCAGGCAATGCATGCACGGGGTGCACAAGCATACAGGAAGGCAAAACACCCATATGCATAAAAAACAAACTTAAAAAAGTGTATTATCTCAGGGTTGATGGTGGAAATAAGGGCTTCTGATTATCCATGTAGCATACCAGGACGCAACGACCATTAGAAAATATCAGAGAACAGGGGTAGGGAAGACAGCTGAATGGTGCTCGCTATAAAGTGCGAAGTGGTAGGATTAATCTTCAGTACCAAAAGAAACTTTTTGTTGAGATATAATTTTGCAGAAGAGTTTTTTTTTAGTATGGCTTTTAGTAATGAGACAGAGAATGTTTTACTTTCAGTATGCAATGAATGTTGCTTAAAAGATAGACAGGCATTTTTTTTCAGATAAGAGGCAGGTAACAACCAACTTCAGTAGATGATAAATTTTATTTACTTGGTGACTAGTTGACTGCTAAGTACAGGCTGGCCTGAAACTGGTGATTTTCCTGCGTCAGCCTCCAAAATCCTGGAATTATGGGCATAAGATTAGACTGTAGAGATCAGTCAGTAAGATAGTAGACAACGCTAAAACCAGAGTTGATATTTTATCAGGGCATTTTCGGGTTCTTTTTTTTTATCGGTTGTATTTTCCCTCACTCAAAAGGGCTCAGAGCCCAGACCTATGTTAGACCGTTCAGACAGCATCACAATAAGCAATCAATAAAACATTTGTTAAGTTAACAAGTTACTAACAAAAAAAATAAGTTCTTAATTATGAGAGATTATTAAACAGGAAAACTGCCCCATCTTTGATGAAGCCCTGGAACTTCCACGGCCCTTTCCTGAACACGTGTCCCGGGTATGCTGCCGACATGGGAACCAGGTCTGAGGCACCCCACCAGTTTTATTCTTATTTCCCGGCGCGGGTCTACTACCCTCGCCGGGCCTAACGTGAAGCAGCGGAGCGCGGGAGCACTATTTCTCAACTCCAGCAGAGGCCCACAGGCGGAGAGCGCCAAGAGCTGCAGACATCCTTCGCGCCCCTCCTTCCCGCAGACGGTAATTCTGGCGGGACCGGGGCGGGCCAGGCGCGTGCGGACCCCGCAGGCGCAGCGCGGCGCGGCGAGCGGGACGCTGCCGGGCGGGCGGGAGCGGGCGGAGGGGAAAAGGGCGCCGGGAAGCGGGCTATTATGGGATGTGGGGCTCCCGGGGACGCCGGGCTCCTTACCCGCCAGTTACTGTACAGTCTCTTAACTCGCCGGTAGTAAGCGTCTTTGTCCAGAGTCACAGCCATAGCCCTGGACGCCGCTTCCCGTCGGGCTCCGAGAATCACGCGAAGTCCCAGCTCCACCACCCGCGTTCGGCCCGGAATCCCGCACTCTCGGTGACCCGGAAGTACCGACCGCACGATACCCCCTTCCGCTTCCGGGTCCCGATAGCGTCGAAGCTCTGTGGGGCGGAAGGGGAACAGAGAGAAAGCCGCCAAAGTGGACAAGTCAACGGGACGCACGGCGCGGAGCCGGCTCGCGGGTCTGCCGCCGTCACGTGACCCGAGCGCCAGGCGGAGGTGGGAGGGGAGCAGAAAGAGCGGGACCCGCGTGCGAGCGGGCAGCTTCCTTTAATAGATTGACTGGTAGAATGGAAGAAAACTAATGGATTGAGGGGCTCCGAACTCTAGGTTTTGCCAGTCCCCTGGAGACCCAAGTTATGACAAGTACCCTTTCTGTCCGCCTGTACCTTTGCTGTAGCGCATAAAAAACAACAGCATTCTCTGGCTTTCCCCAAGCATGGTTTCAGTTACTCAAAAAAAAAAAAAAAAAAAAAAAAGTGAGGGGCCCAACTCAAAACATTTACCTCCTTACCTTGGCTCATTTCCCTAGCTTTAGCAAGCAGACATTCCACGATTACATATATATATATGTGTGTGTGTATATATACCTTCAGAGGACTACAAATGATTTTTCTACTCGTGGTATAACGACTTAACTGTTGGAGAGTGATGTTTAAATTATTCAGCATGCTTAAAATTAGTACTTATATTGTGTTTGAGCAAACAGAACATGGAAAGAATGGAAAAGGATTAACTTAAATTTATTAATGCCAAGGGGAAGGAAGGTAACAGTTCCTGACCCTCCAGCTGTATCCACAGTTTGGCCAGGAACAGGCTCTGCCAGCGGCTAGGGCCAACGCTACATAGTCTGTGGTTAATGGAGGTGTCTGAGGAGGGCGAGCACACCAGCTGCTCTAGGCTCCTTTGCTTCCCCAGAAATGAGGAAGTGGTCATTTATTATTTTTTAGGAGTTCCCCTGCCCACCCAATCCTCTCAAAATTGGGAGCAATCGGGTACAAGTTTTTTTTTTTCTTTTCCTTTTCACCTCCTGAAGTCTTGGGTTTCCCCATATTGTTCCCTGCCCCTCCCACATTTCCAAGTCCAAGGGCCAGAGGAAGAGAATCCAGCAGCCACCCAGCAATGAGGATGCTGGGGCTTCAGTCATCAGCATCACTGGAGTCTGAGTTGGCTGGCATCATAGGATCATCGATGAGCGAGAAGTCCCTTTCTGAGCTCTCATAGCCCTGAGATAAATCATCATCCTCTTCCTCCTCTTCCTCTTCTTCCTCATGATGCAGTGTTGGTAACCGCAAGGCAGTACCAGAGGTGGTGGTAGCTGGTGAAGAAGGGTAGCCAGTGGTTCTCAAGCCTGGATGGTGATGGTGGTGGTGGGGGTGGGGATGGTGGTGGTGGTGATGAAGCATGGTGCTGGAGTCTACATGAGGGGACGCTGCTGCACCACCCATCACAAACGGCATAAACGGCAGAGCTGCAGAAGTGGTGCTGCTGGGACCGAGAGACGACACAGACTGTAGGTTACCACTGCTGTGCTGAAAGGTGTTATGCAGAGACAAGGACCCAGCGCTTCCACCCTGCATCAGGGCCATCATCTTAGAAAGGTCTGGTCTTGTCCTACGGACACGCTTCTTGCTGTTCTCTGGTGCAATAGGCCCTGGCAAAACCCGGTTGAATGCAGTTTCTGCATAGTGTCCCTGTGTGGAAGGAACAAAAGAAGACAGTAAAACGATGGGGGTTAAGTCAGGCAGTGGTGGCGCACACCTTAAATCCCAGCACTTGGGAGGAAGAGGCAGGTGGATCTCTGTGAGTTCAAGTCCAGCCTGGTCTACAGAGTTCCAGGACACCTGGGTCCACATAGAGAAACCTGATTTTGGGGAAAAAAAAAAAAAAAAGTGGAGGAGTGGGGCAGAGGAAGACAAGACTCAACCCAGAAACCTAGCTCAAAAATTATTGCTCAGGGGCTGGAGAGATGGCTCAGTGGTTAAGAGCATTGCCTGCTCTTCCAAAGGTTCTGAGTTCAATTCCCAGCAACCACATGGTGGCTCACAACCATCTGTAATGAGGTCTGGTGCCCTCTTCTGGCCTGCAGACATGTACACAGACACAATATTGTATACATAATAAATAAATAAATATTAAAAAAAAATTATTGCTCAACAGTCCAATTTGGCCAGACTGGTGGTAATGGGGGAAGGAAATGCTGTACTAACTGGCTGAAGCATTCTGATAGAGGGTGAAATCAATATTTGACCAAGTTTTTCTCCCCTTCACATAACATCATACTTTCATCGCAGGGAGCCATTTCACAAATGCTTTTCCTTAGCTAGCAAGGGTCTGAGTGAGACAGGGCACAGAGAAATGTCCTGAGTGTAGAGGGCCAGCAGCTTCCTGACGTGATCTTACATGCAGCACAACAACACGGACATGAACAGTTGTCCTGCATCATCACACAGGGGCAGGGCAGCCTAAGACATCTAGCTTGGAATACAGCTATTTTTAAGATAGCTTGGACTACTGAGTGAGAATTTATCTTAAAATAAAAGGGGAGGAAGACAAAAAGCACACGCAAATAAATCTCTACAAAAAAAAATAAATCTTACCTCGGCCTAATTTTAAATACCTGCCCTAGATATTTTAATTTGGTTATACTCAATAAGGCTAGAACCTACTACCTTAGACTTTGTTTTGCTACTGTCCCAAGCACCACATGGGATGAACTACATTAAGCACATACAATAGGTACCTGAGTCTCTGGATATTTCAAGGCTTAAAATTCAAACTTAACAGTTGACGTAGAACACACCCTTTTAACCCAGAAAAGTGAACATTTAACACATGATTACAATAATGCCTAGACTCCTGCAGGTCTCAGGAATAATGTAGCATTAGAATCACTGCCAGTTTTAGACTAAGAGGTAAGAATTGTGGAACTAAGAATTGCACCTGGCAAGGAGACATATGTCTACAGTCCCGGCTATTGAGGAGATAGCGGGAGGAGGATCACTGTGGCCTAGGAGTTTGGGGATAGCTTGAGGACAATTTTATGGAGTTGGTCTCTCCTTCCACTGTGATCTGTGCTCTGAGGATTGAACAGGTTATCAGGCTAGCTAGCTTAGTGGGAAGCACTTTTACCACCAGCCCGAAGTGTTGATAGGTTAAACTGAATGTACACGATCAAATCTAAACATTATATTTGAAAATTACTATAATAATATATGTATCATAAACTATAGTATATATTATACTACACACAGCAATATATAACATATAAAACTGTACACAGGGACACTAAGAGAGACTTACATAGATCTAATCTACATGGGAAGTAGAAGTAGAAAAAGACAAGATCTCCTGAGTAAACTGGGGGCTTGGGGACCTTGGGGGAAGATTGAAGAGGGAGGGGAGAAGCAGGGAGGGGAGCAGAGAAAAATGTAGAGCTCAATAAAAAACTAAAAAAAACTGTCCACACAATCTATAGTATAATTATTATATATTATACACACACATATATACATATAGACTATATAGATTAAGGGAAGGAACTTACAGAGTTATGTTTCGGTAGGAAAAAGAAAAGATGCACAATTAATCTACCAAATGGTCTATAAGTTTGGTATGAAATAGTCTCATTGATTAAAATTGGTATTAATTTGAAAAATCTGTTTTGGGGTCTGGAGAGAGAGCACTGGCTGCTCCAGGACGTAGACCAGATCCTCAGCATTCACATAGCAGCTCACGGTGGTCGGCAACTCCAGTTCCAGGGAACCTGACCCCCTTCTGACCTTTGAGGGCATCAGACATGTACGCCATGCACAGACATACATGAAGACAAGCAGTCATAAAGGGGTCAAGGGGGGGTTTCTTGTGCTATTTCTATTACTGACATATTATTAATGATTCTCAACCTCCTGAGTATTAAGAAACCCCATAATTATTTTTCTTAGTAGCAACTACTCAAGCCAATTAATTCTATATTAAGGTAGTGGGTTTAATCTAAAAAACACCCCCCCCCCGTATTTTTTTTTTTTTTGGAGACAGGGTCTCACTATGTGGCTCTGCCTGGTCTAGAACTCTATGTAGATCAGGGTGAAACCAAACTCAAGAGATTCACCTGCCTCTGCCTCTCAAATGCTAGAATTAAAGGTATATACCACTATTCTGAGCTTAAAACACCCAACTATTAAAGAGGTAAAGGACTTGAAAAAAAGTCCTTGTCTTAGGATGAGCCTTGATGTTTCCTTTAACACCAAAAGTACTACAGCTGAAAACACCAATAAATAAAGTTTCTCTGTTGAACTCAGGGTAACTTTACTCAAACCATACAGAGGGAAAGGAAGTGTCAGTGACCATGGAATCTCTAGGACATGTCAGGAAGCAGGAGCAAAGTGCTACGCTCTCACCTTTTTCCCATTTCTAGAGTTGGCAGGCTGTATTGGTTCCATTCCCAAACAGTTCAAGTCTGTCTTATTATTTTTTTTACATCTCTGCCACTTCTGTTTTCTACGTTCCTCCATATACTGCAATAGAAAAGAATTGATTACCCTAGAGGAGTCTCTGTTTGACAATAAACAACTCATAATCAGTCGCCATGGAAACCACCATTAGAGGGTTCTGGCCCCCAGACCGGGGGTGGGGAGGGTGTCTGTTTGACAGAAACACTTCGTAAGGGATTAGTTTTAACAAGTCCCTGGATATTACAGTGTTTTGAATCTCAGAATAATTCTAGGAAACAATACTGGATGTTCCCATTCTTAGTTTGCAGATGCAGAAACTGGTACAAAATATGGCATGATTTCTTGGTCTCATACACCTAAATACCAAGAGACTTTAGATCTAGCTAGATGGAGCTCCACTCACCGCTAGAAATCGGGGATCAACAGCAAATTCTGGATGACCCTGTAACCACATCTCCAGTTCCGCCCGGCGAGGGGCCTCCTCACCCACCAGCAAAGTACCATCCACCTTATTGATGACAGGGATCCGGGTCTCCAAGTTCAGATCGAGGTGATTAGGCTCCTCCATGCACTCCACCTCCAGCTGCAAACCCAGAATCCACCCCCATGAGCACATACTCTGTGGAGTGAGTGGGGAGGGAAGGGAATCGGGGCCAATGGGACCTCAATCCCAAATGCCATCAATTACTAATGATCTAGTCACAAGGTAGTTTTTTCATGAGGCAATTGGTTCCCTACCGCTCACCTCCACCAGCTTTTTCCTGCTCCCCTTCTTCTTATGGAACAGTGGGTGTCCGTCTCCTATCACACCGTTAGCCATCAGTCTGTGCTTCTGGAATGTTAGCTTCAGCCCTTCTTCCTGTGGAGACAAGCGCCCACCCGAGAGATCACATCGATGTTCTTATAATAAACTGTGACTAATGGCTTATCCTATGGTTCAATGATGACCAAAGAATAGAAATCAGATACACAATGAAACCCTTTCCGTAGACTTCCTATCTTCAACTAATAGCCCCCATGCAGTTTTTGTTCTATTTTTAAAAAATTACTTTTTTAGACTTTAGATTATAATATATTAACATCATTTCCTTCTTCCCTTTCCTCCCTCCAAACTCTCCTGTAAACTTTTCCTTATTCTCCTTCAAATTCATGGCCTCATTTTTCACTAATTGTAGTTTCTCAGGGCTGACATTTGGTATTGGATGTCCGGTCACTGTGGGGGCGAGGCCTCGAGAGCACGCCCCTCTCATGGGAGCATATCTATTTGCTTCACCCTCGATTGGCTCATGTTTAGCAGTCATGTTGGCGAGACATTATGGTGTAGCTTCTTTCTCTTTCTTGTTTTAATTTGAGACAGGGTCTCTGTATCAGTGGTGCTCCACCTTGCTAATGCTGTGATCTCTTAACACAGTTTCTCACATTGTGCTGACCCCCAACTATAAAATTATTTTCATTGGTACTTCAAAACTATAATTTTGCTACCGTCATGAATAATAATGTAAATATCTGTGTATTCCATTGGTCTTAGGTGATCCCTGTGAAAGAGCCATTCAACCCCTTAAAGAGGCCATGACCCACAGTTTAAGAACCACTGCTTTCTTCAAGCTTACTATGTAGACCAGGCTGATCTTGAACTCACAGACATCCTTTTGCCTCTCTCCTACATGAAATTAAAGGTGCATATCACCATGCCCAGCTAGCTGTAGCTTCAGTAGTCCCTAGGGGACACAGTCTCAGGGAAAGGCCTCCTGGCTCTTAAAACTGGCTCAGCTCCTATGTTGCAGATCTGTCGGTTGGGTTTGGCTCTGTGCTCCTCCTACCCCCAGCTGATCACAACAGCTAATTTAAGTTTTAAAACACCGAGGAACTGTTGTCCAGTATCAGCATAGCAGGTCATTATGGGTAAAATCCTACTGTTCTTATTACATACTAATTTAATACACTTTTTTTCCCTTTCAGTAAGGTTCATAAGGCTAGGTAACCAGGAAAAATAGAAATCTCCATATATAAGATAAAAAACAATTTTAGTTAGAATAATTTTTTTGTTTTAATGTCTCAAAATCTTCAGGTGTGATTTGAACAGCATTCTTATAATCTATTTTCACACTTAAACAATCAGGCTCAGAACTAGAATTCAGCCTTCTGAAAGTTTTGTGTTTAATTCATTTTCCCCCCAAAAAATGATTTCTAATTAAACAACCTATGATATCTTTTAATTTCATTTTCAGGAGGCTCATCCTTCCTTTATGAAAATATTTTCCCTAAGTTTACTCTGATTTTTACAGTGTTTACCACTTTTTTTTTTTTTTTTTGAGATGGTGGTCTCACTATGTAGGATGGTCTACACATGTACTCCACTTGCCCTACCTCCCAAGTCCTATATTCTAGTCATTGAGTTAGTTATCAAGTTGCACATCCTCCCCTACTTCTCAACGCCTATGCTGAGCTTACATCTTTGATCTGAACCGTAAACTCCTTCTCATCCATGCCTCGGCGAAGTTTGGTAAACTGGGCTGCCGCTGTGGTGACTGCAGATGCTTCCTCCTCTACCATGGAAGCCGCACTACTACTTCGTGGGGTGGGGACCGGTGAGTCCCCATATTCTCCTGGGGTCAAAGAGGGGCTGTCTAATAAATGATTGCCTGGCCCCAAAATTCCTCCTGTTGTCATTTCCTGACTCCGGCGGATAGAAGGCCATTTTCCTGAGAGTACAGCCTGGCAGACGAGGTCAATGCGGTTTATCAGAACACGATCCTGAATGACAGAAAAAAAATACTTTAAGAGTCTGAATAGTATGCAACCCTCATCTCCACGGTCATGCCACTGTTATACCAGGTACAAAGGAAGTAATTCTATCACATCCTTAAATAAACTATAGCGTTTCATAGAAACATAGGCAATGCTAAACAAAGGAGAAACCAAAGGAGCAACACCATCTCCTGCGTGTGTAGATAGGAGAATGGTACCTTGGGCCATTCAGAGGCTCTTTGTCTTTCCTGCAGCAGCAGCAGCTCAGGGGTCATCTGTTCTCCATCTTCATTTGGAAATCCATCTTGGGACATAGTGAGGGACAGAAGGCTCTCTTCATCATAGAGCTTCGGACGGGACCGGTCAGCAGCTAGAGATCACACACAGCATGTGTGAGCAAAGATGATTGTGTTAAATTGGAATGGTACTATGTGAACTTGGCCCAACAAATAATAGATGTACTATGACATTTTATCAAGTAAAAACTGAACTCTCAAGAGGATGCATTTTAAAAGGGAAGGAGCAGAGGGTAGGGAGGGGGCCTACAGCCTGTTCCATGCACTCACTTAACTTCTCTTCTTTTTCGTCCTCACTCTCGTCAGTGCTGGAGCTGGAGCTGGATGAGGATGAAGAAGAGGAGGACGACGGTGACAACTTGCTCAAGTCCAGCTCAGAGTCTGAATCCTCCTCATCCTCCAGTTTGACTGGTGGAATACTCCGGGGCAAAGGGGCTGTATCTGAAGAGGCTACACACATTTCATAGTTTTGTGGGGCGAGTCGGCTCCTAGCCACCACCTCATTTTCTAGCTTTAAAGTCAGACTCTCCAGACTGGGGACCTGGACAGCAGTCTCCTCAGGTGACTTTTCCACAGGAGCGTCTGGGCGCAGGGGTGACGGTGAGGCAGTGCGTGAGGGACACTGCTGGTGCAGCAGTGGAGTAGAGCATCGCGACAGGGACGCAGCTGATGCTCCTGCCTGATGGTTCTGCATATAATTCATCCTGGCAGCCAGGAAAGAAAAGTCTGGGTCCTGCATGATGTTGCAGTCTGTTTGGCTCACTCCGTGGCGGGCTGCCCCTCGTAGAAGCTCCCCATCATGACGGACAGGTTCCCACCATTTGGGCAATTCAAGACCTGGAGGCTGACACAATGCCAGCCGATCTTCTAAAAGAGGGTGGCATAAAACTTGTTCCCGTAAGCGCCGAAGCAATTCAATACGGTAGAGGGTCCGCGAGGCTCTCTCTTCAGTAATGGGCTCAATGAACAGATTAGGGTCTGGGGGTTCTGCAAGAGACAAAGGTGAAAAAAGAAGTTAGCCAAAGGCTGATCTGTTAGCAACACAGCCCCATTTACCACAGACCCTACAATCTCACCATCGCCAGCAGCTGGAGGAAGGCGGCACACTTGTCGACACATGGCCACAAAGCCATGGAAGTACTTGGTAAGGCTTTCATCTGTTTTCTTGTCCAGTCGAGCAAAAGTGCGGAAGCGATCCCAGTGAAACTGCATGTTGTCAGGGTCGTACTCTACACCAAAGGTAGATACTACTCGATAGAAATCGGTTTGCTCACGCCTTGTCCACCTAAGGAAGGAAGAGTTAAACCATTGATCACAACACAGGAAAACCGATTATTATGTTGGCTGATTTAGAACACTAGAAAATACAAAAATTAAGTCTAAAACTAACAAAGCCCAGAAGAGGTAATGAGAGGAACTAAGTGACATATAGAATTATCAAGTGAAGGGGAAGATGATTTAGGCAAACACACAGTGAGATGAAGTGAAGGTCAACCACTGGGTATATAAGACGGTCCTTTCGTTATCATGCCTCTGCCCATCTCTTTCTCACTCAGTCCCTTTGTTTACAACTATACTAAAACCTTTCCATAATGAATTCCATCTTCATTAATAAAATAAAGAAAAAAGGTGAATTCGAGGCCAGCTTGGTCTACAAGAGCTACTTCTAGATAAGTGCCAAGGCTTCAGAGAAACTGTGCCTTGAAAAACCAATAAAGAAAGAAGTAAGGGAAGGAGGGAAGAAGGGAAGGAGGGGAGGGGAGGGAAGGGAAAGGAAGGGCTGAGGAGCCAGCTTAGTGGTTAAGAGTACTGACTCTTTCACAGAGGTTTGGTTCCCAGAACTCACTTGGCGGCTAACAACAATCCATTACTCTAGTTCCAGGGTATCTGCAACCCTTGCTGACTTTGCTGGGCACCAGGCACACACGTCACACATACATGCAGGCAAAACAATCATTCCTACAAGCATAATGAAATTTTAAAAATGCTTTTTCCTGGGCATGATGGTAAAACTTTTAATCCCAGCAGTCAGGAGGCAGAGGCAGGCAGATCTCTGTGAGTTCAAAGTCAGCCTGGTCTACCTGTTAAGTTCCAGGCCAGCTGGGGCCACATTGCCACAGAAGAAAAAAAAAAAAAAAAAAAGAGGGGCGAGATGGCTCAGTGGTTAAGAGTGCTTGCTTTTCTTGCAGAGGACCAGAGTTCTAGTCCCAGCATTTGCATGGAGTGGCTCACTGCTGCCAGAAACTCCTGCTTCTAATGTTCTCTTCTGGCTTCCGTGGAAAGCTATAAACAAGTGGCATTCACTCACACAGACACATACACACAGATACTTAAAAAATAAAAACAATAAAAAAGAGTCTTAAAGAACAAGTACACAGGACATCTTCCTATCATTTTGGTTGTTAAACCTAAGTGAATTGGTTTTCTTTTAAAATATCAGTAGAAGGGATTTTGGAGCCTAAGACTCTGCACATGGAAGGAAGGGCTGTGCCACTGAGCTGTATCCCCAGCCCATAGCAAAACCCTAAGTACTAGTTTGAGAGAAAGGCAGAAAGGATGATCCGTCTAGGGAATTCAAGTAAATCCTTCCTGCCATACTTCTCAGAACAGGCCCACAGCTGACCACAAACTTAGAGCTCAGTCCAAACTCCTAGCTATGCTATACCGTTGTTGCTTTTCCCGCCTTGCAATTTCTTTGAGTTTAAAGGCTGCTTCACAACGTCGGCGTCTCCGGTCCCCACGCTCTGCGGCCTCCATCTTCATCTGTTCTCTCTTGTAGCTGCGCTGATAGGCTGTGACTAGGCGGCGGAGCCTGGCTGTTAGGGCAGAGCCCGGAGGCCAGAATAAATGCCCTGGCTGTTGAGTCACCTGGGCTGTGGGAAACAAAGCAGAATGAATAGGAGGTACAAACAGAAGAACAGAAATGATACTTGTGTTTCTACTCATGAAAAGGCAAAGCTTTTAGATATCCCAGCATAAGACAGTAGTCAAAAATCCCCCAACCTAACCCTTACAAAAATAGGCTGTTTGATCTAGAATTTACCTTCTTCTCCATCAATGACTGAGATCTCCTCATCCATCATCATCAAGGGATCACCCTAGAGAAGGAGATCCACCCCACAGGATGGAGAGGGGAGTGAAAGGGGAGAAGTTGGCACTCTGAAATCACTTTCTTGTGTATGTCCTTCTGGGGCACCAAGGGATAAGAAAAATTTCTAATGAAAGGAACTCTCACAAAAATTTGGAAGCAACCAAAGAAAAGAACAAGTAGAACCTAAACAGTTAGTTCTTGATAATGGTGAGACTCCAGAATTGGGAATTTGTTGAATAACACCTATTAACGCCCAGTTTGCATCCCACTTCCTCCGAACCAACTCACCCATGTCCTTCAGCTGGCACTGTCATCCTTGTCATCAGTTACATTGTTATTCTATTCTAAGACTGATGTTTATTATCCGTGTATGGGTGCTTTGCCCGCATGTGTGTGCACTGTGCGTGTGCCTGCTGCCTGTGCAGACCAGGAATGGGAATCACAGTGTCTAGAACTGGAGTTATACAGCTGGTTCTGAGAATCAGACCTGGGTCCTCTAGAAGAACAGTCGGTGCTCTTTAACCACTGAGCCACCTTGCGAGCACTTGTGGTTTACATTCTTAAAAGTTTATTTACTTCCCACATACACAGATGCATTAGCATAATTAACACACTTCAAGTATAATTAGAATGATATATTTCAAGGTTCAGAGAATGAGATAAAACCTACTAATAGATAAAAGCTACACTCTAAAGGAGTTCTCACCTCATCCTCTGGGTCCTTTGGGGGACCCTGCAGTGGCTTATATTCAGGATCTTCACAATCCTTATCAAAGTCAATCCTAGAATTATTCAGAAACAAAGAAGAAAATAAAACAATATAGCCGGGCAGTGGTGGCGCACGCCTTTAATCCCAGCACTCGGGAGGCAGAGGCAGGTGGATCTCTGTGAGTTCGAGACCAGCCTGGTCTACAAGAGCTAGTTCCAGGACAGGCTCCAAAACCACAGAGAAACCCTGTCTCGAATAAAAAAAAAAAAAAAAAAAAAAAAAAACCCAATATATATGCTATCACGAGGAGATCTGACCAAACATACAAGCCAGCAAAGACTACTCTTTAATCTCATGCTTTAGGGAATGGGGGCCAGGGTTCAAACTGTGCTTATATTAAGAATCGCTCTGAGGGAATAAATAATTTTAATTTAACAAAGCACATATCAAAATTTCCTGACTTGGAAAAACAAAACACTTTTATGCATTTTTTAGAATGGTTTTTATGTGTATGGGTGTTTTAACTATATGCACACCTGTGCATTATGTGCGGTGTGCCGGGCACACATGGGACTGGAGTTACATATGGTATTTAGACATCATTTGGGTACTGGAAACTGAACCTGGGTCCTCTGGAAGAGCAACTAGTGTTCTTAAGTGCTGAGCCACCTCTCCATCTCTGTAGTCCTAACTTTTTGGGACAAAATCTTACTAAACTGTTGATCAGACTAGTCTTAAACTGACAGACTCAAGCATCTTTCTGCTTCAAGCCTCCAGACTACCTGCCACCATAGCTAGCAGTAAGTCAAATATTTTGATCCATACTCCCTTTTCTTTACTTTTTTTATTGTTTAATTACTTCTCCCTCCTTCACAACTATTTACCATTTATTAATCTTGCATGGTTTGTGTTTTTTCAAAGATTTATTTTATGTGTATGTGTGAGTGCCTAAGCAATGTATGTTTGTGTACTATGTGCCTGCCTGTTGTTGGGATGGATGTCGAAAACTTTAGAATGGAATCTTCAGGGAATTGTGAGTAAATCTTCACCCCCTGAGAGAGCTGGAAGTGCTCTTAAGTACTGAGCCACTGGTGTTGGCTTTACACAAGCTGGAGTCATCTGAAAGGAGGGAGCTCCACTGAGGAAATGCCTCAAGACTGGGCTGCCGGCAAGTCAGTAAGACATTCTTAAAATTAGTGATTGGTGGAGAAGGGCCCAGTCCACTGTGGGTTCCTGCTTTGTATGAGTTTCTGCCCTCACTGCTTTGATGATGAACTGTTCTATGGGACTGTGGCTGAAATAAACCCTTTCCTCCCTAAGTTGCTTTGGTCATGGTATTTCATCACAGCAATAATAACACTAACTAAGATACCATCTCTCCAAACCATGTTCATATTTTTTACAATGTATTAATTTTCTCTACTTTGCTCTTGAGCAGAAGGGTGATAGAATGATTTGCAATAAATACATTTCTTTTGTTAGTCCTTTACAAACCAAAGTGAAGAGGTAGTCAGTCATCAATAGTCTTGCTCATGCAGAAATTTATAGAGAGCCCTTAACAAAACCCATCCTTGCAACATGTCCCTCAGGTCTCCATGTGAGAAGTTTTGTTAAACTCACTGGCACCCAAACCAGGGCAACACTGCCCTACTTGGTGACTCAGTATTAGCATGGCAGCTCATCATCAGGACATGTCCCCAGAGTTTCAGATACCATGGGAAATGACAAACTGTCTAAAGTCCTGCCACTTGAGTAACCTATGAGAACCAATAGAATTAGTTTATCTTCCCAGTTACTACAGCTATACTGTGATTATTGTGTAAGCCTTCTGGGAAGAACACAGATTTTCACTTGCAGTTACAACAATGTGTGATTAAGGCCAGTGTCTAGAGTCCAATTCTTTAGTAAGAACTTGTCACACATGAGTATAACCACCATCTCAAATCTCAGTGATGGGCTGAGTCTGGCGGTGCACGCTTTTAATCCCAGCACTTGGGAGGGAGAGGCAGGTGAATCTTTGAGTTTGAGGTGCACCTGGTCTACAAAGCAAGTTCCAGGCCGTCAGAAAGACCTATGAAAGAACTCTATGAGACCCTGCCTCAAAACAAAAACAAAAATAGAGTAAAACATTCATTCAGCCCAGGCTAGCGTTAGGTAGAATCAGCACAAGACCCAAGTGAAGGCACCACCAATGCTTACCCTTCCACCAGATCAGAGAAATTATCTAACACTCTATGTTCCGCTGCAATAGCTTTGTCATCTGGCCTGCCAGCCTTTTCCAGGAAGCACAAGGCTGGGTCTGCCCTCATGGTGTTATATTTCTCATAGCCTAGAAGAACAAGGGACACAGATTGAAGAAATTCCAATGTCTGTACTTATTTTGTATACTGTTAGTATTATTAGACTATGGCTTTGGTCAGAATAACAAATATTAACTTGGATAGGTGTTAATACCACTGTGTTTATAACTTTTGTCGTTTTCATCTGGTTGACAATAATTTAATATATAACTCATCTTAAGGTGACTGGTCTATAGAGTCATTTAATAATTTTTAGATTACTCTTCTTAGTACAGAAATGAAGAAAATAGCTTAATAATTTATGATTTTTATCACACATTCTCAAATGAAGAACAAGAAACATACCTGAAAGTAAAGAGATTCCCAGTGAGTACTTATACTAAACTCTAAACTTCTGTGTCTTGCTAGAAAATCAAATGCCCATCTTTTAATTAATTAATTAATTTTTTAACTAGGATCTCCTTGTGTAGCCCTGGCTGCCTGTGTCTGCCTTTCCACGTGCTGGGATTGAAGGGATGCACCACCTAATGTCTGGACACACGTGATCTGCCTGTGTCTGCACTCCAGTGCTGGGATCGAAGGGATGCACCACCTAATGTTTGGCTTGTCACAACTTTTCTTAGCCCACTACATTTCTAAAAAACATGTAAATTAAGTAACTTTATTTTAGGAAGTAAACAGAAAGAGTATGTTTAAAAAATTCATTCCAGTGCATCAAAGGATAAAGCTAATATTCACTGACTCTAATGCCTGGAATTTCTTATCAATTTTTGCCTGATAAGAAATTAGTACTCACTGCTACCTCAGACTACTAAACCTTTAGACAAGTGAGACACAAGAAAAGTCACTGAAATTAAGTATGGTTATTATTAACAGAACTTGCTTTGACTTGTAGAATCCTAATATAGATCCCACAATATACAGGGAGCAGAGAAGACAGAGAGGCTCCCTGCCTTTAACCATCTATCTGGAATTCCTTGAACATTTCATTATAGAACTAGTCTGTTACAGGCACTTCTGGTTGTGACACATCTTCAACAGAAAAGCAGTACTGCAGAGGGTACCTACCATGCTTAAAGACGCCAATGAGCAGGGACTTGTCAGCTTCACTGTCCCACCACGCTGTTGGAACTTCCAGCTGATCCACCACTGGGAACCATATGTCAATCTCACTAAATGTGAAGTCAGTAAAGCAATGTTAGAAATAGAAGTGATAGCCGGGTGATGGTGGCGCGTGCCTTTAATCCCAGCACTCGGGAGGCAGAGGCAGGAGGATCTCTGGGAGTTCGAGACCAGCCTGGTCTACAGAGCTAGTTCCAGGACAGACTCCAAAGCCACAGAGAAACCCTGTCTCGAAACCCCCCCCCCCAAAAAAAAGGTTATTAAAGGTTGCTTGCTTTATTCATTACTTTAAATGATTATGCTTATGCCATATTTCTATGAACTTGTGCTAAAGACCTGATAGAGATTTTTAATTATTAGATATCTCTTATATTTTTGGTTGTGAGCCTAGCCTTTAATGGCTGGTATCTCAAAGACAGTATAGGAGGAAGTAAGCAAACCAGTCACTCCTGGAGCAAGGAAGGAAATATCATGAAAGAGTACATAAATACAAAGAGGCTGGCAAAGTGGCTCAGCAGGTGAAGGAGCTTGCTACCAAGCCTGACACCCTGAGTTCAATCCCTGAAACCCACACAAGAGAGAAACTATGCTGGCAATTTGTCTTCTGAGTGCCACAAGCATGTCATGGCATATCCCTTTCCTCTCCACAACACAAAACAACAGATGATAGATAGATGGATGGATGGATGGATGGATAGGAGATAGAATAGATAGATGACAGATAGATATAGATAATAGATAGATAGATAGGAGATAGATGATAGATAAATGACAGATGGGTGGATGGATGGATGATGGACGGACAGATATAGGAGTGAATGTTAAAGAAAGGGACTTTACCTTGCGATAGCACCCCCCAACACCTTCTCTGCTTGGTCTCCAATAACTTCTTGCCTCAGATAGTACAGCATCCTTACTCTCAACAGTACCCTAGAAGGGAGAAAGAGACACCTTAGCAACAATGTAGCAAGCCTTCATGAGGACTTATCTGAACAGCACTCTTACTTGTTACACTGATGTTTCAAGTGCTTCTTATAACTCTCATCTTGGAACAGAGTATCAGGGTTATATTTCCGGATCCAGTCTGCCTTATGAATGTCAAAAGTACTTTGTGACTTTACTTTTTTCCCCTTACGCCCACGTGGCACAGGGATAGACAGACCTGGGAAAGGGGAGACATCAAAGACTTGGATTGAGAAAAACCCTTACAACTGAAAAGGACTAAATACCTTGTAGAAAGACAAAAGGGTAGGAGTTGATAATTACCTGAATGATTCTGCAATTCTTTTGTCTTGCCATTTTCAGCAGGGCTAATCAAGTCCCAAATGAAGCTTTTGATGTTCTCATCCCCACGGTAGTGCAGAAGACAGTACACAAGGATGGCACGGCATATTGTCTCCACATCTCTTTCAGTCATGCGTCGCTTAAAGCGTCCATGAGACAAAATATCTCGCCAACGTCCCCAACTAACAAAACAGGAAAGGCAACAACACATATATTTTTGGAGAGATTCAAATTCAGTGATATTATCCTGGCTCCCAGAATTGCCATCATCCCGAAAGTGGAAAACAGAAGCTCCCTCAAAGGTAGTGTTTCTACATGTTGCCTCTTGGACACATCCTCCAATCTGAAAGGCAACAGCATCAGGAGT